ATTTGCTCTTGTCAACATGAGGCCTCATCTATCATGTCCACAGTTTCTTGGAAATGTCCCCAGCAAGGCTGCCATCAGCACTTGACTGGAAACACATGGAGGCAGTCCACTCAGAGCAGGAATTCATTATTGGAAGAATAATAAGGGAAAGTTTCTCTCTCTCACTCTTGCTTTCTCTGTTACAAGGAGAAATGCTTTCTGGAAAAGTCACAGGGCTTAAAGAGAATCTGAATCATGTCTGGTAACAAGGGAGGGATGGAAGTAGAAAGGCACATGTCCAGAAGTCTTTTCACACAAAGCCCTGGGCAATGGGTTCCCTTTAACCCATTTTTCTTTTCCAGAGTTATTAGGGTCTGACAGCTCTAAGGGAAAAGCTCCCAAAGTTAACTGGTATCTCCTGGTTGTTCCTCTTTTTCAGAAAGGTCACCTCTGGACTAAAATGGGCTGCAATATTGTTTGGTCTCCTTTTCCCAACGCTACTCCATAGATCTCTGACATATGCCAGGTCAGGTATTCCAAAGAAAAGGTATGTGTAAGGAACGACTATAATGAAAGAAAGATTTGCCAGCCTACTGGGTATAGCAGTAGATGGCAGAAATGACAAGTGCTCATTAATATCCCAATTTGCTTTCCTTTCCAAATACAGGGAGCTTTGTCCTTTCTCACTGAAGTAATCAGGAGTAGCCGCATGACTGCTTAGCCGTAAGAACAGTAGTGAAGTGTGTCACTTCTTGGGGAAAAGAACTTAATTGCCAGGCTCAATCCTCTTCTCTTTCTTACACTTTCTCTCTCTCTCTTCTCCCCTCTATACTCCTCCTTTCTACAGTCGTGGCAATTGTGGAAGTGCATGTTGATACTGAAATGCAATATTAAATAACCACATGGAGGAGGGCTCATCTGGAGAGTCTTTACACCATGCATAGACTTTAAAAAAACAATTATTTATTTATTCATTCATGTATTTTAATTTGACCACACACACACACACACACACACACACACACACACAGAGAGAGAGAGAGAGAGAGAGAGAGAGAGAAAGAAAGAGAGAAAGATACCAGTCTGGGACTCAAACCACATGGTTGGCCACGTGGGAGTGTCCAGCACCTTAACCACCACACCACCTGCTGGTCCCTATGCATAGACTTTAAGTCACTCAGATTTTGGGGGGTTGTCTTTTGGGTAGCAAACCCAAAGTTATCATTTACCCACTGATTTATTAGTTTTTCTCCTCCCAGATCTATTTGGAGTTCTGGAAAAATTTGTATTCTATCTAACCCTGTCTTCCCTGAAATTCAGGGAAGTAGGTAACATATTTTCTCTCACACTTAGGATATTCAGCTGAGAAGTGCACTGGGTGCCTTCCTTTCATTTGAGCAAAAAAAGGCCTTTTTCTCTTTTAAAATAATTATTTATTTAATTTTATCATTATTTTTCAATTTGCTATAGGGCATGTGCAAGAGAGAGAGAGAGACAGAGAGAGAAAGTGAGAAAGTAAGCCACTAGGCCCAGGACTCAAACCACAGTCCACCATGTTGGAGTACAGTGCTTAACTAACACACAACCTGCTGGCCCAAAAAGAGGCCTGTTTTAGTTGGTTAGTTGAATAAAGAAAGTTAAATCTTTTCATAGCTATAGGACAAAAGTGATGAGTATAATCCTGAAACCAAAGTTTTGGGGGAAATGACACTTCCAGATGGTTTTAAGACTATAGTTTTTAAGCTAGAATCATATATTTTGTATTTCACTTGCTTATTCCTCATTATAATAATCCTTACCCTTCATTTCCAGAATTCCTGTTTGGCAATATTGCCTTTGCCGCATAAACTTTTACAATCATGTTTCTGAGCAGTAATTTAATATGGCTCACAACATGGAACCTAAAAGATACTATACATAAAGTTCAGAATCCCTGGATTTATTAAAAAAATATTCACCCTGTGGACTGACAGGGACCACACTCTTCTGAATCTTCCCCAGGATTTCAGTACCTCAACAGAATAGCTAGGCTAGCAGGATTAGGAAGACAAAGATGGAATTCGTTTCACCTCCACCATAAACACACACACACACACACACGCACACACATGTAATATATACCCAGCTAAAAAGAGATCTCTGAATTGCATTGTTAACTCCTTTAAATAAAAATAATTTAACAAACAAGACGCCTCACCAACAGCTCATGGGGTGGTACCAGTTTGGCAGTATTTCAGCTCATGGGGAAGAATACCACCTGTGTCTTCTGTCTTGCGAACATTCCCTGGGGGAACTTTCCTGTACATGTCTCATATCTTTAATGATGGAAAAAGGAGAAGGCAGTGATGGAGCCTCTACAATATTCTCAGCACCACTGCCCAGGCTTTCTGCAGCTACTTGTTAGAGTGGAGATCAAACCACCAGTATGGCTCATGGTGATTCTTTTATTTGGAAAATACTGAGTCACTGTAGTGTTGTGTGTACAGTATTGTGCTGAGTACTTTAGTGAATTGAGGATGAATAAGAGAGGCTGCAATCATGTGACCAGAAATACTACATGAGCAAGAGTGAGTGGAAGGAGAATTGCTTGAGTTCAAATCCACATGGCATCCTTTCCAGCAAGAGAAAGAGCTCCTCTTGCCTCAGTTCCTCATCTGAAGAAGGATCAATATGAAGTCCTTATTTACAAGACCAATAGGAGGATTAGATAAGACTGTGCCTGTTGGGCCGGCAGGTAGTGTGGTAGTTAAGGCGCTGGACTCCCATACGGCAGACTGTGGTTTGAGTCCCAGCCTGGCAGCTTGCTTTCTCACTTCCCTTTTTTTTCTCTCTTTGTCTCTCTCTATCTCTCTCTCTGGTCAAATAAATAATAATAATAAATAAAATAAAATAATTCTAAAAAAATTTAAAAAGACTGTGCCTGCCAAGCATATGTCAGAAGGGCAGCAAGTGCTCGGTTTAGAGGCAATGTGTCGGGCCTGTTGCAGCAGCAGGGTTTGTGGCTTTGGAGCAGCAGAGTCCTGTACTGATTTGTCAGTTACTGGGTACAGAACACTGTCTTGGTATTTCCTGGACATAGCGTAGTCTCAAAGAGGAAGTCACTCAATTTTTTACATTTGGGTTTGAGATGTGTTTTATTTTTTTCAGGATCTTTTGCGTAACTCGTTTTAACGTGTAAACTATTTAGATTCCTTTTTTCTGGGTAGACAGCAAAAGTGGATGAGGACCAAATCAAAAGTTATAGACATTGGCTTTTGGTCGGTTGTCCCAGGATCTCATCTGCAGGCTCCAGAGTGGATGTAGGTGTCTCAACCACCCTACAATGGGCTCTAGAAACTGTAGGAGAGAAAAACTAATATCTTTTCTTCACTCATTACAAGGCTCATGGCCGAGGCACCAATAAAAAATGACAAATTAACACACGAAATAAACAAATTTATTTAATCTAAGTTTTACATGACATGGGAGACTCCAGAAACAAAGACTCAAAGGTCCAAGGAAAACTGTTTTCCTGCTTAGGTTTGGAAGAAAAGTAGGCAGTCATGTAGAAATATGAATGGAGGACAAAAGGGTATGACCTACTGGTAATGAACTAGAAGGAACTTGACAAGGCCTATTTGCACATGTTCTTCGTTGTGTCCCTGTGTTGTCAGAGACAAGGATGTAACTTTCCTCTGGGTATAGGTGAGCTCCTCTGAAATGAAGGTATTGTGATCTACTTCAGGAGAAGCTTAGCTAGGTTTTATGGCCTGCTTTAGGGAAGATGAGGTGAGCAGAAGATATTTCAGAATTTTCTCAAATGCCATGGTGACATGTTTAGGGGAAGTTGAAAACTCCATCACCAACCTCTCAATTTGTTTAAAATTAGCCAAGTTATGCCATTAGAATTCATAAGAAATGTATATTTAATCAGTTGTAAAAACTCACCTTGTATAGTAGATGTTTGTGAAAACTCACTTTTCACAAACATCCACTCTTGAAGACCACAAAAGGTACTCAAAAGGTACTTGACTCAGAGCAAGTTGCGTGGTCACAGCCTGGACATCTGCTTCCTCGGTCTCTTCCAGGTCTACCCAAATCCCTTCACCTTCTGATGCTCAGCACACTTGCTTGCTCCCCAGGAATACCTTCTCTATTTCTCTCTAGCTGAATAAGATGCTTCTTCTTTTGCTTCTGCAGTATAAGGCTTAGACATGCACTTGTCGTTGTCATTTTATTTCATTCTGCCTTATAATTAGTAGCTTATGAGTCTTTTTCCATTCATTGTAATACACTTCTCAAGGACAAGGCACACATCCTATTATTTTTGAGCTTTTCTTGAGCAGTTGGTATATGTTCAACAAATATTCCGTTGTTAAAGGACTCAGTTGTTCAACCATTCTTCTTCAATCTGTACCTACTTTGTGACCACCTTATTGGCCACTAACAGAAGACACAAAGTAGGGCAAGACTTGATTCCAACCTTCCAGGCACTTAATCTATGAAGGGGAAGCAGGTCAAAGTGGTTCTGCTGAGGGCAGCTTGCAGTGACTAACAGCTTGCTTCAGAAGGGTCCTGGTACCAAAGGATGGACAGATTTAATGTTGGCTTCAAAGGGGCCAGAGCCCCAGACCTTTCACTAAATCCGGTCTAATGCTTTATTCAGAAGGGCCACGGCAGTAGGAGCGGGTGGGCTGGGTGCTCTACTGGAAAGGACTAAATTATCCTATGGGTCACCAACTGATTTATTTGCTAATTGACTGGCCCAGCTTTGGGCTTTAAATCTAAAGAAATCATTTCATTCTTTATTAAATACTGCATAAATCTCACTCTTTGTCTCACAGAACTATACACAATATACCAGTGAAACTTGAATTTACACTACAATAGTTATGCCACTAATGACCTTCCAAATGCCACTAATACCATACATGCTATGCTTCTCAGTTGGATCCGAACCTGTCAGTGCATTCTGAGGCCATCGACCTCCCTCTGACACACAAGCAGACCCCCATGCCCATGCCCACCCCCAGCACCCCCCTCATCATTCCATGATTCATTTCTGAATCAGTCACTCTTTGGAGACCCCCATTCCTTTACACCTACTCTTTTTATTTGGTGGACAATACTTTATTCGGAAATGTTCCCTCCTGTAATTACAAATCTTATTAGCTATCCTCCTCCTCTCCCCAGGGGGATTGTGGGCTTTAATTAATTAATGTGGTTAAACCTCTTTGAGGTGGCTGGTTGAAAGGTGCTATATAAGTGCAAATTATTATTATTATGGCTGTTGATATCCCATGGTGGCAAAGCCCTTAGCCCTACACATCTAGAGACCTGAACAAAAGCTTCTTCATCTTCACCTTCCCTGCTAGGTCTGAAATTTCTGGCTCAATGGTCCAGGAGCAAATCTGTTAGCATCTCAACAGCAATCAACTAATTAATCCCCATTATGTTGGCTTCCGTTTCCTTCTTCCAAGCAGCCCGGTTCTGTTTCATTTCACAAATCACACCCCCATCAGCTCTAGACAAAGGTCATACTATCCCTATGGCCTCTGTTTGCCTAAAGGAAAAAAAAAGAGAGAGGGAAAGAAAGAAAATTTGAAAAAACAAACAAAAATTGTTGTCATGAGTATACTAACTTCCCACAAGTAATTTAAATGCAACCTTCCCTACAGCAGCAGTCCTCTTCCATACCTATTACTCACACAGAGCCAACGTCTTCACAAACCAGAGACACGCAGAAACACAGTACATGCATGGGTTAAGGTCCTGCAGCCCTGGCTTGGCCTCTTAGAGCTATAGACAAAAGGAGAGTCTAACTGCACTGGGTGAGAAGAGGTCATTCAAAGAAGTGGGAGCCCCTCTTTGGCTTATTCTACTACCCCCAAGTTTCCCTGAGAAAGCCAGCTGCCATCTGTAGCCGGGAAGCCTCACAAAGGCAGGGGACCATGATTTAGATGTTTTGTGCTACACCTAGCACACCACAGCCCTTAACAAATGCCCAATACTTCCACTATGATGCTAGCCATTGAAAGCAGCCCTGTGGGGGAGGCTTGGCCTCTCATAAGGACGATGCTGACCACAACACTCCTTACAAGGTTGGCCTCAGACCCTTTGTTAGAGTGATGTGGGCAAGCCTCAGGGGGTCATGTCTTCATCTGCCTTCATTTATCCTCCCTATTGAAGGGCTCCTTCAGGACATCGGTCAGTCTCTGTGGGAAATGATTTGGAGTGCAACAAAAGAACTTGGGCCCTTTGGGGGGCCTTCAGAATTCAGTAAACATCTGGACATGGAAGGCCAGGTTCTCAAGCAGTCTAGCTGGGGAGATGTCAAAAGAGAAAGAGCTGTGTATGCAATGCAAGCTCTCCGTTCTGTGGCGACATTTGTTGTAGAAAGACACAGACGCCCCAGTAGGTAGATAGGAAGATTTTTCAAAAGCTCCTCTCTTTGTCAGTTTTGGTGAGTGCAGTTCTCTGTCTGCCAGTTCCCATGGCACGTGTGAGGAAATAGAAGTTTCGCATGGCTAGAGAACAGCATGTGATGGATGTCCAGAATCTGTGTACTATGAATAACCCAGGGTTGCAGAAGTCTGTCCTGGTAGCTGTTGTTAAGCATTTCTGCTGTCTGTGAAGTACGTAAAGCATTTACTAGTCAAGGTGACTTATTGGATCCTTATTATGTGAACAAGTTTTAATTGACAAAAAAAAAATTAAGCATTAAGATGCTAAATAATTTACACTTTGTCACATGGTGAAATTCAGGATCTGAACTCTTGACTCTCAATGTTCCCTTTATTGTTGAGTCAATCCATTTAGAACACATTAGTCAGCATGATTCAACATTTGTCACTAATCAGCATTAGTGATGGAACTAATCAGCATTCTGCACAGTCCCCAAATCTATCCTCAAACAGCAAAAGAAACTGGCCTCTGTCAAGAGACAATGGTATGTTTTTTGTCAGTATTCAAGAGCTGAAATTCAGTCCATGTCTCAAGCACTCCTAGGCGCCTTCCTCGGTCATCCTAGTTGGAATGGGACCACCTCCTCATCCTTCCATATACAATTGTTCGAACTTTGATAATAGGTGTCACAGTTTGCTTTTGATTAAACCTATTAAATACATCTGCCCTAATTAGATTTTCAGCTACTAAAAGGGACCTTTTTTTTTTTTAATCTTCTATCCCCTAGTCCCTGAGCACCATGCTTTGCAAACAATAGATGTTCATCAAATACTTGTTCAACTGAACTCACTGAAATGGCGTTTAAATCATATTCCAGAAAGAACACCGAGTCCTTTTGGAGGAGATTTTTAAAGAAAAGCAACAACCTGAATTGATTTAACATCTTTTGGTATTATTACCTGAGCATTTTCACAAATGCAGATTGTTAATTCTGCAAGGATGGCCAAATGGCTTCCAGGTTCTGAAAGAGGAGGATAGATCTAGTCTAAGAATAGTCCAGGCCTTGGAACAAAGTTTTCTTCTAAAATCTTACTTCAACTGACATTTTGTTCCATGTTTTTCTTTTTTAAAAAGTTGAGACAGGAAAAAACATTTTAGAAAAAAATGTTGTCTATGACTTTGGACCCAAGTACATACCTTGCCTTGTGCTATAAGCACTAGTAGCTCGCATTCAAGTTTCTCCCTTGCATACTGCATAACAGCAAAACACACACTAAACTCTTTGCCTGAGAAAGATTTGGTTTTGGGTGGGAGAACAATTTTGGAGGCTGATCTTTGGTGAAGTAATAACTGTAATACTTTAGTTTTCTGTTCTAGACTCTGGAACCAGAGAGAAGTCATGATGGCATGTTTGACACACAATATTTATGCTCTACTTCAAGAGTGTAAGTTCATTATGCAACATGCCCAGCCCCACAGTCTGTATGTACTATAGTACCCCAGGGCCTAAGTTCTACAAGTGGGCTCCTCTGAAAAGGCTGTGTCACTGAATATTCATTTTCCCCTTTTTTTCCTCTCCAAATTTAACTGGGTACATGGCCATGCAGATTAATGACCATATGTCAGCCTTTCTTACCATATATCCATAGTCTGGCCAGCATGATAGAAGTAGAAATAATGTGTGTAACTTCTGGTTGATAACTTCAAAGGAAGGGAGATTCTTTCACTCCCACCATCATTCTCTGTCCCACACAAATACTGCTACCTGGATAGAGGACATGAGGGATGAAATGGCTGAGCCATTTTGGACTGTGATAACAATGGCAACATTCTGATGGAGCAACAAGCCAATGGCCTAGATATCTAGATGAATGTGTGAGGCCAAGCTGCCATACCACTTCTGGTTAGCATTTCTCACAGTGCTCTGTGAGAGAGCAGTGAACCTCCATCTTGTATGCCACTATTAGTTTAGGTTGTAATTACACCCAAAGTTATAACCCAATTCTCAGGAGTTTCCTGAAGGATCAGTATCTTAGTGTGACTGATCCATTTTAGCTTAGAATTTCAAGATTTAGGATGGGTCAGGGGTATCTCAACAGAGGCCCCAGAAGCCTCAGAGTTAGGTTGTCCCAGGAGCTTCCATGATGGAAGATAAAGGGATTCGAACCCATTTCTGATTTACTGAAATCTTAGAAACCCAGACAGTGTACTTGGAAGGGGCTATAAAACCAAGTTTGAATCAGTGAGAATTACTTCACCTTTCTGGAATTCTGTTCCCTCGCCTGAAAATCAGGATGATTAACAAGACTAAAAGTTCTCTGTCTCTCTTTAAGTTTTTTTTTTTTCCCTTCTTCTTTGAAGGGTACAGGTCCTTATGCCATGATCCACCCCCAGACTCAGTCAGTTTGGATCATAGACATATATCTGTACATCTGTCTAAGGAGGCCTAGGGATGTGAACCTTGGCTGTTCCCATGTGGGTCAAGCCTTGCAGAGCACCTTGTTACTGTTGCATCACCACGTGGCCCCTGGAAGCTCTCTTTCTTAGGAGTGTATATAGTTACTGTAGAGGAATGAAATACCTTTGATTGTCTTAAGTACAAGCATAAAGCCTATGGACTGTGCAGAAGTTCTCTCTAAAGGCAATGGAGAACTTCCACTCCAATGGCAGAGACAAAATAGGCATCTATAAAGAATGCCTAAGAAGATTGTCTATGGAAACCTGACAATAAAGTTACAATTACACATAGCTGTGTAGAAACTGGTCCACCACATCCAGAGGGAGTGTAAATTGGTAACCTCTTTGGAGAACAATTTGGGAATACATAAGAAGGATATAAATTGTATATCCTGAGATCATCATTCCATTTGTTTGCTTGTTCGTTTGTTTGTTTGAGAGGTTTTTCTCTATAGGGTGTGTGCGCTCACCAGAGAGACAGAGAGAGACAGAGAGACAGAAAGCAAGAAATCACCCCCCAGGGGGGACGGCCATGCCACAATCCCCTCCATTCTCCTCTTGGGATCTTGGACATGCATGCACACGCACCTGGCATGAGTTTAAGCCACTGGGTCCAAGACTCGAATTGTGGTCGACTACATGGAAGTTCAGCGACATAGCTATAATGCTAACTGCTGGTCCCATCATTCCTTTTTTTTTTTTTTTTTGGGGGGGTTTTTTGTATAGGGCGCATGGGCTAGCCCGATAGACAGGGGGAGTGTGCTAGCCCGACAGACAGAGAGAGACATAGAGACAGAAAGCCAGAAATCACCCCCCAGGGGGGATGGTCACACCGCAATCCCTTCTCCTCCATTCTCCTCTTGGGATCTTGGGCACGCATGCACACACGCCTGGCGTGAGTTTTAAGCCACCAGGTCCAGGACGCCAACCGTGGTCGACTACGTGGGAGTCCAGCGACATAGCCATTACGCTAACTGCTGGTTCCCCCATCATTCCATTTTTGATACATACCTAGAGAAACCTCAAACCTGCCTACCAAGAGATATGTTTGATGAAATTCATTAAGTTACAAATAATAAAAATTTCCATGAGTAGGGGTGTGGATAACATGTGGTATATTTGAACCATGGATACACATTCTAAACTGAAATGAAAGAACATGATCTAAGTGTATCAACATGGATATATAGTAAAAACACAATGATAATCAACAAAACCAACTTGTGAAATGGTGTGAACGATAAACTACTTATGCAAATTTTAGAATGTAGTCGAAACAATCACCATATTATGAGTAGATTAATATACATACAGAAAAGAATGGAGCGGAAGGCTATACACCAAATCCTGAAGAGCTTTTACTTCTGTGAAGAGGTGCAGGATGGCCAGTGAGTAACTTAAGGGTAGGTACAAAGGAATTTTTAACTTTTTTTTTTTTTTTATTTTTTTTTTTTTGAGAGATTTTCACTGTAGGGTGCGTGCGCTCGCCAGACAGACAGAGAGAGACATAGAGACAGAAAGCGAGAAATCACCCCCCAGGGGGGATGGTCACGCCGCAATCCCTTCTCCTCCATTCTCCTCTCGGGATCTTGGGCACGCATGCACACGCGCCCGGCGTGAGTTTTAAGCCACCGGGTCCGGGACATGAACCGTGGTCGACTACGTGGGAGTCCAGCGACATAGCCATTACGCCAACTGCTGGTTCCCTAGGAATTTTTAACTTTGACAAGTTTTATTCCTGTGATAAAACTTGTCAAACAACTGGGACAGAATTTTTTTTTTTTTGGAGAGGTTTTTTCGCTATAGGGCGCGTGCGCTCGCCAGACAGACAGAGAGAGACATAGAGACAGAAAGCGAGAAATCACCCCCCAGGGGGGTTGGTCATGCCGCAATCCCTTCTCCATTCTCCTCTCGGGATCTTGGGCACGCATGCACACGCGCCCGGCGTGAGTTTTAAGCCACCGGGTCCGGGACATGAACCGTGGTCGACTACGTGGGAGTCCAGCGACATAGCCATTACGCTAACTGCTGGTTCCCAAACTGGGACAAAATTTTAACATCTGTTAATTCTGGGTGTAAAATTCATGTCTTACGATTTTCTGTACTGTTCTATATTACTGGGTCATTGGAAAGGTCATGATTTATTTTTTTCTATGTTTTTCCACGCAAAAATATGTCATGACTTTTCTGATGACCCAATAAAAAATATTTTTCCACATTGATAACAATTTCTCTTTGAGACCAACAGCCAATGGAAAAGAAGTGAACAAAACAGAGAGCTCATGTGGGAAGATGTCGTCGAGGGACAGTAAGAAAGGAGAAGAGCACTGGGCACTTGGGCATCCTTCCTCATTTCCCCTAGAAGCCTCACATCAGGAGGCTGACAGAGCAGTAAAGGACAGTACTGTGGTCTGGGCCAGCTTGCTGAGACTGCTGGCACCTGACAGGTTGGGGACAATGTGACAGGCCCACTCAGCTCTCTTCTCCATGACCTCTGGGAGCAGAGCTCATTCTCTCTCTGCTCCACTGTATCCCAAGGCTCTCTGCTCAGTCTCCCACAAGAGCCTGACTGTGCCAAGAGTGTGGGTGGTATTTACTATGCAGACATCTCTGTACCTGGATGGAAATAGAATGAGAATCTTCTGGGTCACTTTGAGTGCTCCAGGCAGAAAACATTTGGATGGGTTGTTAATTCAAACGGAAATCTGATGAACTCAGATGGTGGTATTTTGGGGGAAAGAATATTTTAATAAATCATCAAGTTGGCTCAGTGACTAAGAAAATGGGGTGGAAGAATTTAACCCAAGTTTGTGACAAGGGAACAAATAGAGGAGATTAATGCCTCTCCTGATATGCTTCAAAAGGCAATCAAATAAACCACTCTTGATTGTAAAAGCAAAGCAACAAAGATGAGGCATATAGCTTTCCAACTCTGAAAATATGATTGTTTCATTGTGTTCTGGTTCTTCTGAGGCCCTGTGCTAAGTGGCTAAAGAAATAGGAAACAAGTTTCATTTCCGGGACTGCCTCTGGACCTATCACAGGGTGCCTAGCCTTCTGTGGGATTCCCCCGCACTATCCTAAGGTTTATGCTGCTCATTCAAATCTAAACTAGCAAAGGATAGCACCAGAAACTAAATCCAACCTGTCCTACCTGGTCTTGATTTTGTAAAAACAATGTGAAAAACTATTTCTGCCCCACTGAGAAACTAAGCCACTATCTTCTGTCCTGTTCACAACCACCTGGCTTTTATTTTTCAAATGCCCTCTAGATTCCAAAGAAAAAGGAGAGTATAAGCAAGGAGTAATAAACAGGGGCCTTGCTGATTCAGTCTTTCATGGGCCGACCCTGTGGCACAACAGTAATCCACTAAAAAGAAGCCAGACCCCACATGGCAGTCACGGTGTGAATCCAGGAAGGGGACTGTGGTATGGGCATGATGGGTGTTCATCACTCTCTCTCACCTACATGTGTGTTCTGTTGTGAATAAAGAAAAACAAATTTAAAATCAGAAAAATCTTTCATTCTCCGAGGTCAGTCCCTTCTCAGGCCTCTATCCAGTGAGCCAAGAAGGCTGCAGGGGAATCAGGTTTAAGGTTTTCCCTGGGCCTCTTGTACCATCAGCAACACAGCCTGGCTGCTCTCAGTTACAGAATCTTTATTATTGGCCTTCAGTCACAGCTGGGTTCTGGGTGGCACAACATTTGGGGCTTGTTTAGCAAACAAAGGAAATGAGCAGTTGTGGGTCAAGCTGAGGCACACTGACAACCCCCCATTCCCTTCTGCAGCCAGGTGCTTCTGTGGGCCTACCCCAGTAAAGCTCATTCCCAAGCCAACCTCTCCTTTCCCCTTTCTACTAGATCCCCACACCCCTGGGCCTCACTCTCAGCAAGCCAAACCTCTAAGCTTTTCCACTTGATGGGCACTGGATTTTCGTGAACTCTGGGGGGCAAAAGTTAAAGTGGAGTCATGGGATTCTCCCCCACCCCCACCTTTTTCACTTCAGTTGCACAAAGGGGCTAACCTTCTGCCTGGGACCCCTCTCAGGAAGCTGGTCACTGTGAGCTCCCTCTTCTTTGGGACTCAAGTATTTCCAGAGTCCAGGGCCCAGCAATGAGAGGCCAGGATCCCAGACAAACAAGGGACAAAGAAGATGCAAACAGGACAGTATTACCATGTTAATGGCCTGAGTCTCAGCCTCCTGAAGATGCTGGGAGGGTGGGTTTTCTTTCTTTCACTTTTTCTTTTTTCCCTCAAAGGAGAATAGTTTTGCTTTCTATTTTGCTACAACAATAGCATGGACGGGCTCCTTCAAGTGTTTCAAAAAGCAGCCTGAGAAATCTCTAATCAGCCCCTCAGTCTCTCAGCCTGCCGTTCATTGTCCCTCCCATCCCACAGAACAAAGGGGAAGGGAAGGGTATAAGGCCCCAGTTGCTGCCTGTTCTCAGCATCCTAATCCTTGAGAACCAGCCTGGGGAAAGGCCTGTGGAGTAGCAAATGGAATTCCATCCTCACCTTTTATTTCTTCCTTCTGCTTATGCACTCAGGAGTTCTTCAGGTATTATAAAACCGCCTGGTTTGCAGGCCAGTAGGAATCCTGGGGCTTGCTAAAGATAAAAGGCACCGCAGGGTTTCCCCAAGTTCACTAACAACCTCCCACCCCCAGCCCAAGGATTGCCTGTTGGAATATTCTCTCCCCCCCACTCCAGGTTGGCTCTGTCACTAAGACTGAGTGTCAAGCCACAAGTGGTCACAGCTTCTCTAAGTTGGTAATGCAGAAGCTGCCCTCACTCTTCCAGCCCTTGCTTCTCTGCAGATGCCCCTCAGACATGGACGGCATATTCCAGAGCTCCAGGAAGGAGCCTCCTTGGCAGCTCAATGCTGTAATGCCAGAGCAACTCATCACACAAGGAAAGCTTCTTGGCCTTGACTGCTAGCACCTTTGCAAGTTTACCACTCAGGGATTAAGGGTTTCTTTGCTTAAAGCCTGGGGTATTGTGCAGGTGTCTTTTAGTTCAGTCATCTGGTAAGAATGGGGGAAAATAGCTGCGAAGGAACTGAACCTAAGTTCTAGCATGCAGAGATCTCAAGAGAACAACTGTATTGAGCTAAGTCAATGACAAGTACATCATTTTCTAGGAGAACTGGAGAGAGAAGGCCTGGGCTGGTTACTAGAATCACCTGGGCTGGTTACTACAATAAAAATAAGAAAAACATTTCACACTGCAACCCCCATACATAAACTCCTAATGTGCACACACATACACAATCATGAAACAATATGTGATCAATATTTTGATCAGTATTTCATGAAATGATACACCATGGGTGCTATAATCTGATATTTTCCATTCTCTATTTCTTTTCCCCTTTCTCCTTTCTTCCCCCTTTTCTCCCTTCCCCCTTTCCTTTTAAAATGCTGGTTGTGACTCATCAAGTTCATTTCATAATCCACCAATAGGCTGCAACAGTTTTCAAAGCCTTGAATCAAGGTTAACATTTTCATTTTCTGACAAAATTAGGGCCCCAGGGATTTTTTTTTTTCTTCTTTTTTGTTGGGCCCCAGGGATTTTTCTGAAGATCACACATAAGAGCTGGAACTGGAATACAAGGGGTCTCTCCAGTGAAGGAAGGCTCCTCATTTTTCTAGGGAGCTTAATTCCTTTTGTTGTACCAAAGTCCTTGGGAACACATCCTAAGAGGGCAGAGAAAGCCCAGGGGTAATGCTGATACAAGCAGAAGAGTTCCACTGCCTCCAGAAAAACCCCCAGAGGGACACATAGCTTGGGGGCATGGAACAGAGAAAACACTTAGAAAGCAAGGAGGTGAGATTCTGAGGCCTCCCATACATTTTTCTGCCCTGATTTCCCAACTTTTCCTAATAGTCATTCCTTGCCAACTCATTGTATTCTAGTCTTAGCTTTCTATCAACAACTTACTCTTGCTTGTCAAATTCATGATTTTAGTAATGAGCATCAGAGAAGCAATTCAATAAATCTTGTTTCCACAAATATTATTCCAAAGGTTATCCAAATTACCAGGTTATCCAAATTACCAGGATTAGAAATGCTATTTACCAAAACACTAAGAGATCAAGGTACAGGCAACATATTAAGGCACTCAACATAAGCCATCTGGGCAGATGTGACTCTCGCTCCCAAAATTATGTTGAAATCTTTATCTAAATTTGCCGTTTACTAGACTTCTAATCTTTAAAGAAAGCCTCTAAAAATGAAGAGCTGAAAGTCACCCTCTATTGAGTAAATAAAAGTCCAGCTCTCTGATTGCTTATTAGTTATCCACCCTTAGAGAGTATGTAACAAAGGGCCCTGCTGTTTGCTTTGCTTAATCTGGTCTTAAAATCTCTTCTTCTTTGTCAGAAAACAATATTTGCAATTGTAAAAAGAAATATTTACCAAGGAACTTGGATAGCATAAGTCAAAGGCTAAGAGCCAAAGGTCAGTAGTTCTTACCCCAAATTTCTGTGGACCCGAGAGTCCCTGCTGTGGAGTTCAGCTGTACCAAACAAAACAGGTCGCTTTGCGAGTCCATTAAGGAACAAGCATTTTAGAAGGGGAAGGAAAGGAAAGGCTACAGCCTATTCCTCAGTCAGGGGTAAACGTTCCAGCCTGCTCCGATAGAATCCCTGTGAGATTGTTGCCATGCAATGTGACTCCATTGGGACATTGGGATATTGCAGGGACTGTCCTGTTTTACAAGCCTGGGAAAAATATTCAACTTTCAAGATACAATAGGGATAGATATTCCTACCCTGGCCAGCAATGGCAATGGTATAGCTATGGTCTAGGCCAGATGTTCATGGGGGTCGGGGGCACAGCCTGACAGCAGGATATAGATATGTAGCCTGAGCACTTCTCTGTGGAAACTTCTTAACCCACAAAACAGCTTTACATATCTGACTCTGTGGGGTGATGCTAAGTTTGATAGTGTTTGAGTTTACTGGTTCATGCTAATTGTTTTCCAGAAAGACCTGTTATCATGTGCTTTCCTAACCATCAGAGTATCCGGCATCTAGGAATGAGCCATTGTTCTGAGTTTTAGGTTGTGGCATAATATGCTCCACTCTAAGCAAGAACTCAGTTCCTTCCCAGTCCCAGACCCATGTCACAAGTTGCAGGTCAGCAAGGCCTCGTCCCCAGCATAAAGGTCCTGTTGAAACTTGACATTAGAAAAGGAAATGGAATAATCAGACAGAGACGAGGGAAGTAGGTGCCGTGGTGTCATGACACTATGTTCCACAGCCCAGATGGTTTTTCAGCTTGCTAAGTGAGAGGGCTCTGAGGCAGTGTTGGCTCCTGCACACAGCATTGGACTTACTGCCCAGTTCACACCCTAAGGCCCACAAAGAGGACTGGGGGGGTGGGGGGGTAGTGGGAGTTCCTAGCTTTCATGGTCTGACCTTCGTATTTTGGTTGTCTTACTCTCTTATGAAATTCTGCAGTTCTCCCTTATCCTTACCTCAACATTCTGTCAAAATTTTGTCACAACTACCAATATGTTATCTTATCAGGTTAAATATCACTGGTCAACTTACCTAGGCACTTGATTTTGTCCTGAAATAGCTTGTATCAGGACCATCGTAGTAATCACAATTAGAACCGGCAAAATGGAGCATAATCAGTTTAAGAAATGGCTTAATCCAAGGATCCTACCTTGAAGAACCAGACCTTCCTCCTTGATGGTGTAGACAAATGAGGTGAAGGGAGCCAGGGGGGACTTGGCAATGAGAACCTGCACACAAAGCATATTTTTCCAGGGTTAGTCTAAGGGTCAGGGATGAGCCTCTGTTTACTCCCCTTCCTACACTGGGACAAAGTGGTAACAAATTACTGTGAGCCATAAAGCCTTAGGGGAAAAAAAAAATAAAAGATTTTAGGACCAAATGTTCAAAGTGGTCACCTTGGAAGGCTGTACATTTATTCCAACAGTTTCGCCACTGAATGCCATACTCTCAAACCAATTCTTCCAGAAATGTCTCATTACTTTGTTAAATCCTTAAATAGCTACCTTCCTCCTCAAAGATAAAACTTAAACTGATTCTCAAATTTTAATTAATTTATTTATTAAAAATATTTTTGCTATAGAGCATGTGCACTTATCAGGGAGAGCATAATCCCCCTGGGAGGATGGCCACACTGCAATCCCTTCTTCTCCATTCTCCTCTCAGGATTTTGGGCACACACACGCACCCAGTGTCTTTTTTTCTCTTTTTCTTAGGTTTTTGCCATAGAGCATGTGTACTCACCAGAGAAAGAGAGCAGGAAAGTGAGAATCACTCCCCAGGGCAGATGGCCATGCCACAATTCCTTCTCATTCATTCTCCTCTAGAGATTTTGGGCATGCATGCACATACACCCAGTATGATTTCTAAACCATCAGGTCTGGGACTTGAACCACGGTCAGTCATGTGGGAATCCAGTACCTTAACCACCAAACCACCTGCTAGTCCCTGGTGTCTTTTTCAAGCTGTCAGGTCTGGGAACTAGAACTTAAGGTTGGCCATGAGGGATCAGGCTACCTTAACCTCTGTGCTACTATGAGTCCTCAAATTTTTAATTAATTAGTTAATTAATTAATTAATTAATTTTTAGTTTTGCCATGGGTCTCATGCACTTGTGAGGAAGAGAGAAAGAGAGAGAGCAAAATCATCTTCCAGGAGGGATGGCCACACTAATCTATTCTTCTCTCAGGATTTTGGGCATACATGCGCACATGCCCAGCATGTTTTTCAACCCACTATATCTGGGACTCAAACCTCTCAGTTGGGTATGTGGGATCCAGCCTCCTTACCACCACATCATTGACTGGCTCAGATTTCATTTTAAAACTTAGCTATTTCACCAAAATCTAAAATAATTCAAAGCCACCATTAAAAGATCCACCATCACTGGAAATATTCAAAATAATTTGCTAATGCAAAGCGATGACAGATTTCTGTGTTGGTCCCAGTCCTTCACTATGTCTGTAGTCATACCCTTTATCCTGTGATTGACTTTTGGTGTAGAGCATGTCCCATGGCTCTTGACCATGGGCTTGGCCACATGACTTGCTTTGGCTAGCTAATAGGTTGTGCCAGCCAAGGCCTCAAGAAGCCTCAAGTGTTTCCACTTATTCTCTATGCCATTACCAGAGAAAAATATGTCCAAACTAGTCTGCTATCTCAGAAAGAGGGTAAGAGGTTCCTGGAATAGAGCTGGCCAGTCAGGGACCCACATTCACATGCATTAAATATTCCTTATATGGCTGAGCCTTTGGCAGTGGTGTTATGAAGCATTATCGCAGCAAGAGTTGACTGCTATACCAGCCAAAACAAAAGATCAGAAATGTTTTGAACAATGCATTTTCCTAAGGTGATACCTGTTTTAAAGGAGATGGTCATTCGGTCATTAAAAAAAGTCAATATTATCAACCCATTATCACATGGTTCTATAGGACCTCTAAGAATTGGTGAAATGTTTTACTATGTTATTACTACTGAAGGAAAATAAATATAAATTTCTCATTTTACAAATTAAAATAACATCATCAAAATAATAACAATTTGGTGCAGAACTTGTTTGGTAATCAGAGTGGCAAGAAAGAAGGAATAAATAATTCTGACTAAACAATAGACTTAGACGTAATATTCCAGTCAATCTCAATTCAACATTTTTGACTTAAATATAGGAAGTGGTAACAAAAAAATGTAGTAGAAAGAACACAGCTTTTAGTCATGGGATTCGAATCTAGCTCTTCCACTAATTAGATAGATGCCTATTGCTGAGCCTCTAATTTCCCCTCATAGCCATTCCCCACCTCCTTTTTAGTGAATAATTCCAAGTTTCATATCTCTCTGCTTCTGTTGCAATAAGGTGTGGCCATGCAGCCAAGCTTATAGCCAAATTAACAGATTATGAATGTAAGTGACAGACAGAACTACCAGATTAAATTTTCATTAAAAAACTGCATGCCTTTCACTTTTCTTCCCTCCTTCCCAATGGCAGGAACCAGCTCCAACCATAAGGACATGGAACATCCTGGTGATGACAAAGCAATCTGGCAGAAAGAAGCTGGCTGACCTCAGAGAGCATCAGAGCCTCCCATCTAGGTTCACCTATCCCCTCAGGACAGAGCTATTTGTTTCACCCACTGTGTTTCATTGTTTTGTTACTATAAGAGTAGTTGAACTCTAGGCAGTACTGTGACTCTGGATAAACTAAATTTTTTGAGTATTAGTTTTCTCACATATAAAATGGGGATAAAAACACCCACCTAGATGGGATTCCTGTGAGACTTCAATTAAACATACAAAATACCTAACACAGCATCAAATACACTGCAAGTATATAATAAATAACAGGAGTATTTTCAATCAACTCATCAGATATGCTTCCCAAGTGCTGCTTAATTCTCACTCACCAAAATCCAATATATTTTGTTTTTACCAAAAGGAAGTCTCTAATTGAATCTAGATAATTTTTACAAGTGCTCTAAAGTTATCTAGATAAGTCTGTTCATTATTCTCAGAATCAATGAGTAGAAGGGATAGGTGGGCATTTATACTTTCATGTCAAAATGAACTCATCTGCAAGTTAAAGTGGATCCTTTTCTGGCTGAGATAGTTTGGAAATGGCTCAGTTAAGGATGGCCTAAACTTAGCAGGGGAATGGCACAATAAATGAAAGGACGGTGCTTCTCAAACTTTAACGTTGATATGAATCATCTGCAGTCCTGTTGGCATACAGATTTTGATTTAGTAAGTTTTAAGTGCAGACTGAGTCTGCATTTCTAATGAGTTCCCAAGAGATGTTGATGCTATAGTACATACACCACATTTTGAGTAGCTGGGTTCCAGGCAAATAGCTGATTGGAGAGTCTACAATGGAAAAGCAAGAGATGGGAGGCCCAGAGTCAGTTAGGAAGCAACTGCAATAATTCAGTGATAAGATGATGAGCACTTAAAACACAATTGAATCAGAAATAATGGGAAAAAAGGAAAGATAAATGAACTATAAATCCTTTAGATCATGTAGCAATAAAAATAAACTAAACATAGCCCAGATCTGAGATCTTTATTGTTTGCATGTAGCAACTACTCATGAAACGATAATGGTATAAATAAATAATAATAAAGTATATGATATAACAATGGTATCAGAAATTAGCCTTCCAACTCTGCACGCCACCTCTATCAGTTAATGTTCATTCTATGGACAAGCCCTGAGCCCTAACCAAGACAGTTTCAGGTCTGGAGGGAGTCTGCTAATGTCCTGTCCTTCTAGAACAGGGTTTGAAATGAGCTATCAAAGGATGATCTATGTGCAGTTACAAAGAGGAAGTGATAAGTTATGTCAGATGAATCCCACTTCCCTTTTTTTTGGAAAGAACTTCCAGATAAATAGATCAGAGAGCCACCACCAACACAAAATATCTGATTTCAACAAATAAATACATAATAATAATAGAAAAATAAGTGACAAAAGTCTTTTCATAACCTTCTGGATAAAGTGAAGACAAGTTGACTTGGATGCTAATACCATTAAGTAGATCTGTAAGTGATCAAAAGAGTTGTAGCAATCTGATGAGGGGCAGCAATCTCTAGTAGAATGTATCAGATTCTAATTTTGGCCTAGTTAATTTAACATTCTTGCTGACAAGGATGAGGACACTGATGTATTCAACCATATCCATAAAACAAAGATGAGATCTAGTAGGGAACAAACTGATAAAACTTGCTGCCTTAATAGGGTTTATATGTCTATCAGACAAAAAGATAATAAAAACCGCCAACAAGTAAAATATGTAGTATGTTAGATGATTATATATGCGCTATGGAGGAAAAAAGCCAAGTATAGGAAGTATATCAAATCAGAGGTGGGGATCAGTTTTAATTAATTAATTAATTTTTAATTTGCCAGGGTATATGTGCTTGTCAGAGTCACAGAGAGAGAGAGAGAGAGAGAAAGAGAGAGAGAGAAAGGGATAACATCCTGCCCCCATGGAGAATGGTCATGTCATAATCCTTCTCTTTAATTTTTCTCTCTCTTCAGGATTTGGGGCACACATCCACATGTGCCTGGAGTGTTTTTCAAGTCATCGGGTCTAGGACTTAAACCGTGCATTTGGTCATGTGAGATTTGGCTGCCTTAATCACCAGACCATAGGCTGGCCCCAAGAGGGTCCATTTTAAATAGATGATATGAATAGACACTAAAGAGGTAACATTTGAACTTGTGAATCACGGAATTCAATCTTGCACTAATGGGATGCTGAGTTGATGGGAAGGCAGGAGAAGACAAAACATTTAGAGAGAGCATTCATGTATTTCTAAAGTTGATACAGTGGATGATTATGGTAGCAAAACAAGTCTCAATTTTGCTTAGAATGGTAGTGGGGAAAATCCTACATATATTTTAGGATGTGATTTTATTGAAAATAAATGTAAGGCCAACTACTGGTTACAACATAGGAGATAGATATAGTAGTCAGAAAATAAATTAGGAGTGTTGGTTAACTGTAGTTCAATATGAGTCAGCTCTGAGAGGTAATTCTCAAAAATCTTGTGTAGTAAGCAGGTTACATCAATGGAGTTATAATATCTGAAGAAAGAGAGGTGAGAGTTCTGCTTTTTTCCACACTCAGCACACCACACTGATGGGATATGTTTGGATTGGGTACCAAGTTTCAAAAGGGAAACTGACAAAGAGGAGAACAACTAGAGAAGAACCATCAAGGTGGTTAGATGTCTAACG